GACATCATCATCAAATATACGTTATTGTACATGATGATGATGTCAGTCTGTATCAGTATATACGTTATTGTACATGATGATGTGCCAATAGGTCCAATCATTGTACACGTCAGCACGAGTTTGCCGCCAGTTTGTCACAAACACTATCTACACCTTCAAAATCTCGTGCAGTCAGACAGTAACAGGTTTGAACACCAAGTAATAGCAATGCGGTTATTGAGAAAAGCGTACGTGCAGTCCCACGCATAGCTACCTCTGTCCAACGAGATATAAACACTTTGTCAAACAAGAAGAGCCAAGTAAAACGAATGTAAACAAAAAAAAAAAAACAAGGCGAAATAAAAAAAAATGGAAGAATTATTTAGCATGTATGACAGTTTCCGGGAACTCTAAGTGTGTAAATATAGTAAATTCCGAGAAAAGAACTCGAATTTAAAATAGTGGATTAAAGTAAAAGTACTTTAGTGATAACAAATTACAAAAGTGCTTTTCAGTATATTTGATCAAGATTGCAACATCTTGACCTTGGTCAAAACGGCACGACTTGTTGGTCACTGAGAGGATAGAGTTCGTGGATGATACATAAATTGGAGTAAAATCAACTCCACGTTGGTTATCTTGATTTCGAGCGATGCGTTTGATGTTTCGTTAAGTTTCATATTCTTGATAAATTATTCTGTTTTTTTTAAATAGGCATTTATCTTTCCCTCGAGATTCGATTGACCCTCACTTGACCTATAGTTATAGCAAGCGGAGTGACGTCTGGCCGTTTCTCCGCTTTCAGTTCGTAGAACACCAAGATTGAGACTGGCAGATTTCTTGATGGCGGTATTTTCTTTCTTCTTTTTTTTCGATACCATAGGCATGTAGCATTAACACATTCCCTGACTCCGACACTATGACAACGTGTGTGTTTACATATCTGTCACTGAAGGAAGGGTGATGGCTTCTTTAGTTCGCAGCCGCCGCCTTCAGTCTCCGTACGCGTGGAAACGTGCCCTGACCTGTTGTTGCCAAGTAACCCGAGCTACCCAGAACTTATCTCCTCGTCTTTCCGACGTGAACATTCTCACCCTTACGTGCTTTTATAACGTAACTGCGTTCTTGGTGCGCATCAGTGCAAACCCGATGCTATCTTTCCGAATCATCCCTAACTTCTCTTCAGCCGACATGTGGCCGTAACATGGTCCACGGTGATGCGAAAATGAAAGTGAAACCTAAAGCAATGGTTTTTGTTTTGTTTTTTGTGCATACCTTGGAGTTAGGAATCGACATAAAACACTGGCTCGTCTTAAACTTTCGAAATCATGAACTCGGAACGTATTCATATGTTGCGATTCCATAATGAATACATAAATTATGTAGAGATACTTCCCTAAAAAAATTATGTTCATGTAGTCTGGTTGAGGGATGATTCCTGAGGGAGGTGGGAATATTCTACAAGTATGTCTGACTTTCATATAAGTTGAGTCTAATATTCAAAAAAATATAAAAGGCTTGTGAAACGTGTAAGTTCGTGAAAAACGGTTTTTCAGAAGGTCAAGTCGTAGTTTGTGTTGACTTTGTTTAGGTCAGCATGTGTCATTGCCTTGTCATTTAATCAAATGTGTTTCTGTATTTTGAGTTTGTGTTTAGGCTAATAAGCCGTTTACCATGTAAGGATAGATTACATTTAATAGTAGATTATGCATGTTGGTAGTTTAGGTCTTCAAATCCAATACAAACTGTTTATCTATCACATAAAGTGAATTACACGTGAAGAATTGTGTTGGTGGTCTGGTTTTTGTGATGTAATACAAACTGTTTATCAATCACACAAAGTGAATTACACGTGACGAATTGTGTTGGTGGTCTGGTTTTTGTGATGTAATACAAACTGTTTATCAATCACACAAAGTGAATTACACGTGACGAATTGTGTTGGTGGTCTGGTTTTTGTGATGTAATACAAACTGTTTATTAATCACACAAAGTGAATTACACGTGACGAATTGTGTTGGTGGTCTGGTTTTTGTGATGTAATACAAACTGTTTATTAATCACACAAAGTGAATTACACGTGACGAATTGTGTTGGTGGTCTGGTTTTTGTGATGTAATACAAACTG